CATATCAGATCTCTTTAAATGAACAATTCAACTCTCCTCATCAATATAAATTGATGATCATGAGAAATATGAACTAGAATGAATTGGTGCAGAATGTCTGAAAGACAAAGATATCAAAGTAAACAAAGAATATCTAGTTCACTAAAAGAAATCCAGATCTCAAGAAGACTTCTGATTAAAAGAATCAGAACTAGTCAATGCAAAAGAACTGTTGCATTAATACAAAGATGCAAATAAGCTTATATAATGTTACATTCAACAACAACAACACAAACAATTCACAAATATTAAGTGAATATATAATATTTCACTTCTCTCAAACATTCTTCATTCTACAATTTCATCTAACATAACATTTTTTCTGACATTCTTTAACAGACTTTCTCTAGTATTCAAGAAATCAATCTTTCAATTTGTATTCAAGCAACTACTCAGTCTTTTCAACTCAAGCAACAGCTCATTTATTTTGTATTCAAACAACTGCTCATTCTCTTCTACTTAAGTAACTGCACATTCTCTAATTTCCAATCATCTGCTCAGTATGAACATCTCCCCAAATACTAATGCATTCTCAAAAATCTCTATTAGAGCATCAAAGCTCACAATTTTATCTGCATCAAAAACTCTCTCCCAAGTCAAGAAATGACATAAACTCCAAGATCAACATGAAGTCTCAGAAGAGAACACAGATTTTCAAGCAGACTATACTCTACAATTTATATCTGAAAATGCTTGAGTCAGACTTCTATCTACTAATGAATGGAATTTTCAGAGCTCTTCATCTCACAATCTTCCATCAGCTGCTTCAGAATCATGTCATCTCACTTAGATTAAGATAGAAATGACCACAGATGCATGAAAGAATAAGATTATGACAAATAAGTATACAGAAAACAAAACCATCACATAAAATTGCAATGAATGAGTTTATATTCATCTATCTGTCAGAGCATCTTTTTTTAAACAGTGTGATTCAGTGAAATGCAATATTGATGATGAACATATCTGATATAATGAATCTTTTACAATCTTGCAACAATGAACAGCAGCCACTTTAGCTCTACAAACTTGAGCTGAATTAATCAGAGCTGAAATCAACAGAAAATGTGAAGAAGAAATAATTCAGTGAAGAGAGAGTCAGATCATATAAAAGCAGAAATTTCTTTGAAGAGAATGATTCAAAAATCACAACATCATCATTTAAGCTTCAGAAACAATAGACATAATAATTAATGAAGCAATTAATCATCTAGAGAATCTCTCTGAAGAAAACTTCCAAAAGAAATTGCCAATTGAGTACATCAGCCATTCAGAAAGACAAGAAATCTGAACAAAAAAATACAACATAAAAGCTTCAGATGATATTTTTCATCTTTCTGAATCTGAAGATAATATTCTTGCATTGCTTGATGAGAACTTATCAATGAGTTCATGAACTGTTTAAATCAATGACAATTTCACAACATTCACATCAAAACAAAAGCTCAACAAACAAAAAGCTCTGAACAATAAAGCTACTCCACACAAGAAAAAGACATCAGTTAAGCAGAAAGCAACTCAAAAAAGTAAACAACTATTTAAGTCTGCTGAAAATATTAATCCACTGAATGACATCTCTGAATTTAATACTAATGAATTCTCCACTGATGATAATGTTGTTTTCTCTACATTCTCTGACTATTATGCTAACAGTTCACTTGTTTGAGGAACATCTAGAAGTCATCTCTCATCAGAACTAAATGACACAGCAATGTTGACTTCAAATACAGAAACAAGATTAGTTATAGAGATATCAAAATGCAATGAATTAATGTCTCAATCATTATCAAAGAAAATCAGTAGTAATGAGCTTTCTGATTTTACTGATCTTTTCATCTGAGAACAAGAACTAGTATCTCAACATTCTCAAGATAAATAAGTGCTTTATCTACAAAACAGACAGTTCTCTGTCTTTTATCTTCCCATGAACTTTTCAGCAATAAACACTGATGACATACTTATGATGAATGAGTTAGATGCAATAATCAAATAATCAGCAATATTTAGTGAATGAACAGCAACACTCACAAAGTACAGAAATGCTCAATACATCATGATAATTGATCAACATCTTGAATTCTTTCAATTCTTCTCTGCACAACAAAAGCTAAACACATCAAAATCAGAGAAACAACATCTAGTCCCAAAAGCTCTTATTACTTCAGTGATTAATTCTTATTTTGAAGAAATATTGAATAAACTTCAGAAAGATCATCATGAACTCTTATTGACATTAATAAAATATGAATTCATTCACTTTCTATGTTGATTCTCTGAAGAATTCATTTAAATGCAACCATCTACAACAATAACTACAGAAACCTGATTGGCTCTAGATGAAGATGATGTTATAACAATGGAAGAAATTTAAGCATGGCTTAATCTATCAACAGACAAAAAAAGAGAAGCTTACAGAAAATGTTGATTCATTCTAAATGACTTCATAAGATGCAAAGTACTACATCTCTCTAATCATCAACAGAAAGTCCATCTAGCTTGTCTGCATGCACTAGAAGTAACAGCTGAAGATTATTTACATCTAACTTAAATTGATAACACTGATGTGCTAGAACAGAATTTAAAGAACACTCTACAACTGTGAAAAAACTTTGCATTACATGAAGAATGATATTCTCAACATTAAATTAAAATATATGCACTAATGCAATCAATTATGTCTATTCTGACTCAAAAGAAGTTTCTTTACTCAATGACACATACTAAATTGATTAACAAAACAGTCATTAAGAAGATGTTCTTCTTCTTCAACTTTCTCTACTATGATTATCAGTTCCAATCTAATATACTGATATGTGCAGTACACATGCTTTCAGTGAGAGCACTGATTTTAAAAGATATTTCTCAGCAACTGACATGGAATCATTACTGTACATAATATCAAAATAGTTAGCTACTTAGTCAGCTCTTCAAGCTTATTCACAAAGCTGGAAGAAGATAGGAGAATCATCTTCTACTACACAATCAAAATTGCATGGACATTTCATAGCTCAGTTGGGTCAGATAACAATAATCATCAAGAAAGAGATGCTTGTCTGAAAATTCTTATTAAAATAAAGAAAATTTTTGTTGAAAAGAAAGAGAAAGAGAGAGAGAAAGAAGATTGAGAAAGAAATATTTATATCTAAGAGATTGTTAAGTATTACTAGATGAATTATGAAAAATGACAGTCACTAGTAACTACAGCAACTACATTACAATTACAGAGAAGCTGTCACTTTAAGTGTGATCTTGCTGTCACATCATCTAGAAATCAAGATTGAATGAAGACTTTACACTGTGACCATCTTACATTTCTCACATTAGAAAAGAGATTTTGTAAAAAGTTGTTACAATTACAGTAAAACTCTCACTCTGACTGTGATCTTGCTCACATCTACATTTTGAAAATCAAGACTTGTGAAAAGTAGACTGACTATTGAGATTTCTTTGAAATCTCAATGGAACAAGACTGAATCTCAAAATTCAAAAGTTTGTTCTAATTTCAGCCCAAAATATGAATATAAGTTCCATTCTCTTTCAGTTTTAAATTTTATATTTTAAGTCTCATCTCTGGATTTTTCTATTTCTAAAACAATTTTTAATTTTTTTTCAAACTTTATTTTGAAAGTGTATTTTTACACCAAAATAGGACAAAATAGAAAAATTGACACATCAAGTTAAAATGCATATATATATTTGTATATGATTTTAATACTAAAAATAGTATAAAATAAGATTTTATTTTAAGTTTAGGGAAATTGAGAATTTCTATCCCTAATTAAATAATCTCAATTTCTTTAAATTAAGTCTCATTTTCATCTCAGTACTTGAAACTTAGATTTCAGTTTCATCTCAGTTTGAACTATCAAGTTCTAGTCTCATCTCAATTTTCCATTAGTGCATTAGAAATGGAATTTCAGTTGGGAAATCTCTGTCTCTGTAATCAGTCTAGTCTTAATTCATTTTATTGTTTCATAAGTTACTCTTTTTCTTTTCTTAGTTTATTTCATTTCTCTTTTAAAATATAATGATAAATCTCAATTTCATTTTAAAATACTGATAAAAGCTGTATTCTCATCTCAGTTTTAAATTTTAAGCTTTAAATGTCTTTCAGAAAATCTTACACTTTGAAATAACTCTCATTTTTTTTCAAACATTGTTTTGAAATTGTATTTTTATACCAAAATATGACAAAATAGAAAAACTGTCACATTAGTCAAGATACATATATACATTTTTTATATAATTTTGATATTATAATTTATAAATAGTCTAAAATAAAATTTTATCTATTTCTAACTGAATAGTTCCAAACTTTCAATCTCTTTTGTATTAAGTTTCATTTCCATTTCAGTACATGGAACTTAAGTCTCAGGGGTCAGTACTTTTCTGTTTGAATCATCAGGTTTCAGTTCCACTTCAATTTTCTATAAAATTTGTTAGGGATGGGATTTCAGCCAGAAAATTCTGATTTCAGTAATCAGTCTAGAAAAGATATAAATTATTGCTCTAACACTTATTGTACTTTTCATATTTATTAACTTATTTATAATAATTTTTTCAATTATTTTTTTTGTATTTTAAATAAATTTTGCAAGAAGCTTGCAGATAGTTTTTATAGTCTTAGATTGCAAAAGACCATAATGAATAATGATCATAATAAATATTAATTAATAAAATGCAAAAAATCAGCTCAGGTTTTCCACAGAATCTGGCAGAGATTATCTGTATGAGTCTAATATCACTACACTACATTGGGCCTAGCCCATTCTTGACTCATCTGAAGGGTATGAGGCAAACGCCGGAGGTACTTGTAATGGCTGGATTTCATGACTTAGCCTAAAAAATTTTCTGGAGATCACCTTAATTAACACTGTGAAAGTTACCAATTACCCTGCACATTTCTTGTTCAAACATAAAATTTGTGGTACCAAGAATACTGCAAACACCATCCATATCTTATGGCATATATGTTCAGCCCGAGTGCGAAAAGAAGAAAGCTAGATGACCTAGACGAGGAGACCAATGGAAGTACGAATATCCATCAACAAGACGTATCTACACTACCGCGATTAAGGAAAATCGAGGCTTTTCTCAGTCTTTCTCCTGCAAATCGGCTGACTCCTGCCAGTGGCCAGTTTAGGCCAACTCTTTTTAAGTTGCAAATCGATGAACTGATTTCGCAGTTACGTTTCGGTTCCATAAAACATCTTAAATCTGTGGAAAAAGTCCTCCCACAGCTAAAGAGCATAATTGAAAACGTCCCAGAATCCCCTGAAAAACCAACACATGAGGCTGAAGAATATTTGCAGCGAATATTTGGTGTTATTGTTCCTTTCCCCGAGCCGCGACCGCAGTGCAATGCCCAATACAAATTCGAGTATAAGAAGCCCGCAAGCATCAATGTTGCGGGAAGCATTGCACTTGGCACTGCATTAAAGGATCTAGAGGAACCTTCTATGGATCTAGTAGTGACAATTCCCAGGGCCATGATACGCAAAAAGGACTACCTTGATTATAGGTATCTTTACAAGCGTGCCTACTACATAGCTTCGATTGCAGCGGGCATCAAAGACTCTAAGGAAGTGTCCTTTGATTTAAAGTATACTTACCAGGATGACGATAAATTACGACCTATTTTGCTTGTCACACTGAATGAGGGACCGAGTGAACATAGTCAGCATTCAAGAGTCTGCATTCGCATCTTGACTACGATGGAGTATGATGTATTCCCTGTCACTCATACCATGCCAGGGAGCAATAATATTCGCCGGAATTTCCCCGGTGATGACGGGCAACAATCATTAACGTCATTTACTGCTTTTTATAATGCTACACTTCGTTCGGAATCATGCATTACATCTTATCATATGCTTCTATCTCAGGCCTGTACCAGGTGCAGTGCATTCCGAGCTGCCTCTATTTTAGGCCAGGCTTGGCTCCGTCAAAGAGGTTTTGGCAGCTCCGTCGTTCGAGGTGGCTTTGGCTATTTTGAATGGGCAACCAGTATTGCCTTACTTTTGGAAACTGGGTCTACAGATGGAACTCCACTTTTCTCCTCAAGTTATAGCCCTTACCAAATTTTCAAAGCCATGATGCAATTTCTTGACGACAAAGATTTAACAAATCCATTTATAGTTCTCAATATGGACACGCCACACAGAATCGTGTCCAGCAAATATCCAGTTCTGTTTGATGGAAAACGGGGACTGAATCTGCTTTATAAAATGACTCCCTGGTCATATCAACTGCTTCGCTATGAAGCCAGGATGACCTTGAAGATGCTGAATGACCCCGCGCCTCGTTGTTTCGACCACACCTTCATAAAAAGAGCGGACTATGCATTGTGTAGATTCGATCAAGTTGTCACGCTAAAATCGAATATCATTCTCGCGTCTGCTTTCGATAGCTTCTCCTATTGCAACTCCATCTACAACATGCTGTCAGAGGCTCTTGGCGACAGGGCAAAACTTATACATATCACTTGTGATGACACCTTTCAGTGGCACGTTGGACCAGGAAAAGCTTATACAGAAACCAAAGCTGTCGTTGTGGGCTTAATCCTCAATTCGGATACATGTTCTCGGATCGTCGATCGTGGTCCCACCGCCGACGATAAACAAGCAGGTCTGACATTTCGAAAATTCTGGGGGAGCAAGGCTGAGTTAAGGCGGTTCAATGATGGCACAATTGCTGAAAGCCTAGTTTGGTCTGATCATCATGCAGATGGATCGATATCTCAACAAATCATTGCCCATATACTCGGCCTACATTTTGGGTTACAACTGCTCACTGGGCCGAATCTCTTCGAAGAGTCTCATAGTATTCAGAATATAGCAAAATCCACTCTAATATTTAAGCCAATATTAGAAGCGCTCCGGTCTCTTGAAAATACCCTTCGTGATATACAGGGCTTGCCCCTGGCGTTTCGTCAACTCTATGGAGCAAACCCTGCTCTACGTTATTCTTCTCTTGGTAATCCAACGACCCAACAACTCTCGCTTTGTCCCATAGATGTGATACTCCAACTTGAGGGCTCTTCCAGGTGGCCCGATGATCTGGCTGCGATCCAGGCCACCAAACTGTCTTTTCTTACCAGGATAGGGGAATTGCTAGGTCAATCTCGGAATGCTATGCCATGTAAGATTGGCTTGGAATCACATTCTACTCGGGTTCAAAACGTTGCCTTTCTTGACATTAGCTCATCACCTTTGGCCACTTTTCGGCTACGAATAGCATATGAACGTGAGCAGGAGTTGTTAGAAAATCAGCTCAGAGACTATTCTTTGACGAAATGGAAAAAAGAAGAAGCTGCGCTTGCACTGCTCTGCCACCAACGGTCTTTCAGCCAACAGGTTCAACACACCCAGGCATTTCAAACGCTTGCTACTCGCTTCCCGGTTTTATCCTCTACGATTCGCGTATTCAAATTATGGGTGAATTCGCACTTACTTAAGGGATATTTTTGCGATGAACTCCTGGAATTATTGGTCTGTCACGTCTTCCTGCATCCTTCTCCTTGGTCGACACCGTGCACTGTTGCCAATGGCCTACTCCGCACCCTACACCTCCTTGCAAATTGGAATTGGCAACAAGAACCTCTTGTGCTTCATATCGATGACAGCCTAACCCACCAAGACTTGAATAACATAAGCGCCAAATTTACTTCGTGGCGAAAAATCGATCCTCTCATGAATACTGTGAGCTTCTTCATAGCGTCCACACTTGATCATAGTGGCGTTATCTGGTCGCGACAGGCAAAACCGCCGAGGGTTATCGCATTGAGGTTACAAAGTCTCGCAAAAGCAGCGATGGAGGTCGTCAAGCAACAAGGTATAGATTTACGTTTCTCGCAGCTTTTTTACTCACGTAACCGAAACTTTGATTTTCTACTCTGCATCAACCCAAAATTCGTCAATGACAACCGACCAGTATATAGAAATCTTCCGAACTCCAACCATATTTCAGGAAGAGCAGCAGTTGTCCATTTTATTAATGAACTACATCGTTTGTACGGAAGTCACATTTTGTTTTTCTACGACTTCGAAGAGCGTAACATTGTTGCAGGCCTTTGGAAACCGCAGTCTATAAAGCCCCGCACATTCGGGTTGAAACTAAGCTATTCATCAACGCCGGCGACAGGTCCCGAGGCCGGAGAAAATATGGTAGTCTTGAGGAAGGATGCGACATTACATGCCATCGCCACTCTCGGCGGAGACCTTATCGAGAAAGTACAGGTGAACAGCAACCTATGATAGGCTCTTCTTCATGCTATTAGTTCCGGTGAGAAAATGGCCTTTTCTGAACTATCCCCTCTTAGTTCTGTCGGTTAGGGTAGAAAATGAACAGTACTTGTCTTTAATGGAAACTACTTCATATGTGCCTTCGTCAGATGCACGAATGGTTTTAGTATATTCGTATGATATATCATGCTTCGTATCGAGGATTTGTGGTTTGGTCCCCTTTGCAGTATTTGAACTGCGAGTGTACCTTCAAAGGGTGTTAGTAAACTCCAAAAAAACACGAGAGCTAAAACTTACGTAAATTCAAAAGGAGGAGTGCCCCAGAATTCAAATAATATCTCAGCTTCTCCTCCTTCGTGGATATCAACAACGGAAACTTCCCCGCGGCTAATTTTGACGCTTGGCATCTCGTGAATGTTTTTTTTAATATTCTTACGAGATTTACATTTGCCACTAGCACCATCACTAATAGCAGTAACAATAAATTCACCAGGTTTTTCAGCGATTCGACGAAAGCTTGTCGTCTGAGTATGTGCTCTTCTCTGCATCCCATCGAAAGTATAATAGACGTCAAAGGGAGCATATCCCGACAATGAAAAAGAGATCCGTTCCCCAACACAATAATCAGTCTTCGATTCCAGTGGAATTATCGTAGGAACATCAGATATAGTAACTCTCACAGAAGAACCTCCGTATCCAGTGGTCTGCAAACAGCCTCGGGCATCCCGTACTTTTCGAATTGAAACAACATGTTGACCCAAATCAAGGTATCGACGGGGAACGGGCAAGTTGAATTGCCTGGTATTGATATTAGGTATTGACATGATATCTGGCCTCAAGTTGGAATGGTGCTTGATACCAATTTCAAGAGTGAACGGCGGAACGCCCTCCAGAACAATTGGAATGGTCTCGTGACCGTCTCCTTCCTCCTTGCAAAACCCATAGTTGCGATCTTGCGACTGGAACTGGGCAGAAGGACGAGGATTCACTAGCTGCCTAACTGTGAGCGGGGTAACGTCACGGGGTTCCCTCATATACAAGTTGTCGCCTATGTTTATAAATTTATATGAATATTTCCCGGCTTTTGACGATTCCATCCGGATTGATATGGAGTGAAATGCCGCCACCAATGTTTTAATGCTAGAAGAAATACCACCGGAATTTGCCTCGTATTGCTGTTCATATCTCACAGCGTAGGGGGGGTTCCCGCGGAGTTTTATGTGCATCGTATCTTCATCTCCTTCACACACTTCGGTCTTTTCAAGCAAAGTCTTTCCATCCAATGGATGCCCATCTACCGCTGTAATAGAAGGTCGGGCAATCCAAGATACGTTGAATACCCTGGCGATGGGGTCAACTGTTCCAGGACAGGTGGCGTCACTAACATCTAGTAGTTCATATTTCCCGGCCTGGTCCACCTGTATTTGGCTATTTTCATCCCAGAGAACCTTTTCAACAGGCACAGTCTGTGTATTAAGAATATTCCGATATTTAAGTCTCCAAGGTGCTTCTCCTTCTAAGCGTAGTGGCAGATCTACCATCTTATCTTCTAAGGCGAGAATTGCCCGTTTTTCATCAACTTTGCCAAAAGCAGCGCTTGGTCTCTTGGGCCTGGCTTCAATTTTGATTTCCTGCTTCAAAGATCGTTTACATTTAGACTTGTCCGTAACACTTACAAGACCTAATATGTACTCTCCGCCTTCAAGCAGCTTTTCAATCGTCAAGGTCATAATCTCGGAATTGCTTGTAATATTATGGTTGGATCGTTTTCCATTATGTATTAACTCATACTGAAGTTCCCAAGGGCGCTGTCCTAAAAACGATACATCGATGGAAACGGGCTCTGCGAAACACGCCTTCCGGCTAGTGACAGGGCCAACAAACTGAGCTGAAGCGACTGGTTTCACATTCTGTTCTAAAATGGGCACCTCACTTTTTAGTGACCGAGTGTCATACACGTGGTCGGATATGTCAAGGAAGCGATATCGATAGTGGCCCGCATCACTCGGAGTTAAATCAAGATGACCTCTCAAGCTGTCAATAGACAGGATTCGTGTCTGAGAGCCCTTAGAATGTTCAATTGAGTATCTGATTTTAAATGGAGGCGTTCCTATCAAATCCAAATCGACTGAGAGCCCAACTGCATTATTCGCACATTTATCATAAATGAAGTCTTTTCGAATAGATAAACGAGGCATCGGAGGATTATGTAGTAAACATGAGGATGGCTCCAAGATATCCCCCGAACAAAATCGGCTAGAAATGCTGATAATGCTGTACCATCCTGGATTTTTAATCCGTGGCTTTTCACTTACGTTCCCCAGAATAAAGTCACGTATGTCGCGAGATTCCTGTGAATCATCGCGTGGGAATGTTTCGAAAAATGAGTAGCCAAGTGTGAAAGGTCCGTCAGCTAACTGACCACCGCCAACAGAATGAAAATGGACTGGAAGTTCAATCGTTTCACCTGTCGCAGCCTGAAGAGATGTTTGGGAGTTGCACCCTAGAAATGAAAGGCGAGGTCTTTCATGGACAAAGAAACGCTGGGATTGAGAAGTGAAATCTGCGTGACGATGCCGTAGTTCAGTGTAGTTCATAATGTTGCCATAAGCATCATGTATTTCATCAATTAAATAGGTCCACTGACCACCAGCTTCGAGAGACTCGTTCAGGGAAATTTTAATCTTTTGAGCTCTCGGCCAGGTGATATTTGTATGTGGTGGATCTAGCTCACTGGCTGGGTTGGATGCAAAGTTTCCCGGCTGAATACTTTGATACGAAACACCATGGTCCACATCATTCAAGATACGGCTGTATTTAATTTTTAATGGTGGCGAGCCTTCAATTTCCAATGTGAGATTTGAGAGGTCGCCTTTACACTTGTGCGTCGAGGATTCTTGAATGATTGCTTTAGGGCAGACAACAACTGGAGTATCATGAAGCCGGCGATGAACCTCGAGCCTGGATTCGTCTATAACCTTCCCCAGTTGATAAATGCCAGTTTTGCTAGCAGGGTAGAGTAGATCGCGATGGCCCAGAAGCTCGAACTTGTGAGACTGTTCCGCCTGCCTTTTCATTGATTTCAGTAATTTCTGTGACACCACAATTGTTTCATTTTGGGTCGTTTCAAGATCAAAGCGTATGAGTTCAATGGCAATAGGCAAAGTCTGGTTTATTCGGATGGGCAAATGCACTGTTGATCGAGCCTCATCTAGACAAAAGGGATGCTGTTCCGGATTGAGAATTGCTGAGCTATTTTACCACTGTCACTAAAAAAAAAATCAACGGTGAGTGAGTTGCCGGGGAGGCTTACCCCTCTGGAAGAATGTGAATGATTTGCTTTCCAAGTATCAGTGAGGAGTTATGTAGGATATCGGCTGGATTTACTCGGCGTTCCGATATTGAAAGTTCTCTATCATAGGCAACCTTGACGAATGCAGCCATCCATGCAGAGAAGGGAATCTAAGACGAGAATAACTTAGTAAAATGGTATTGTTAGTGCGAACAGGGGACATTGGTGTAAAGTACCGGTATATGGAACATTAAAAAAACATTTGCTAACACATGCAGCAGAAATACTGCAAGTGAAGCCGAGAATGCCCATTCCAACCAAGGTATCCTCAGGGCCGGCAGGCCAAACAAGAAGAAACCGTCTATTGAAATCCATTTGAGAAAAAGCCAAGTTGCATCGAGATCGTCTGAATACTGCCAGTATTCATACAGACGCCATGCATTCAACAAAACATAAAAAGCAGCAACATACAGCCTTTGTGACGGCGGATCAATAATGTCGAAGGGTATTAACGGTCCATTGACATCTCGACTTTTAGTAGTCACAGAATCATGAAGGGTAACAATATCGGGTTCTTTTTGACTCAGAAGAGAAGAGGTACCATTGTAGATACTCTCAGCTTTCTGCAGTTTCTTTGATGTCCTCGGCGTTCGAGGGAAGGCTGATCGTAACTGGGGAGTGTCAGTCATTGCATTCCGCGACTTGTGAAGTTAACCATAAAAATAATAAGTGCGAGGCGCTAATCAAACATTTTAGCTTATCCTTGAAGAGAATAGAAAAATGACCTTACGAACGCTAGAAATGAGCAAAAAATTAGCGATGTTTGATGTTCATTAGTTATGTTTGAAGTACTTCGTACTTAGTTAGTTACCTGATCACCTCAGCTCATCATCTCAGACGCGTGCGGTTAAGATTATTTAGCGCGAATTTGGTGTTCGAGCTAGTTAACCCATTGAAGTAATTTCGCCAAAATCTGGCAAGGACAGCATCGGAGCTGATTTTCAGCTTTTTTGCAGAAAGTTCAGGATTGGCATAGAAATTTAAGAACTGTAAATTAACGTAATTCCTCACCGAACGCCCAATCTCACCCAACGACTGCTTCTTATGAAATTACCACTACACCTTCAAAATACAATTTTTCAACAACCATGTAGTAAAATTAATTAAGCTATTAGTTACAGTAAGTAGAAAAGGAATAAAACATAGAAATTAGTATGGTTAATCCAAAAATCAATGAGATGGTCTAATAGCTTGATCTTTGTATGTGACTGACATTTCTGACTTCTTGAACTTCAAAGTAATTGAAAAATCTTGCTTTGATGTTTGAGAGCTCAATTGTAAGCTTTTTAGAGCTGTAGAGAGCTTTTCTAGAGTCTTTTTGAATATTACAGACTCTGCAGAGTGTGTAGATAAAGTAGAAGTCTTTAATTTCAGATTTTTTTGATAGATCTTCTGCACAGTCTTCTCTTTCTAAGTTTTTTTGCACTGTAGAGCTCATTCTTTCTTTACTATCTGTTTCAGAACTTTATATGTCTCTTTAATATTTTTTTTTAATCTGTCTGTGATAGGCTGACTGTTGGGGTCCTTTTGGGATCTCAATGGAACAAGACTGAAGAGTAATCTCAATTGAGTTGATCCCAATCTCTTCTCAAAATTTGAAAAGTAGTGACATGTACATATTTATGGAAGTAGCTAGATAAAGATAGTAGTTAGTTAGTCAGCACCCTGAGCCTATTGAGAAAGCTTGGAGGAGGAAGAATAGAATGATCTTCTACTACACAACCAAAATTGCACAGACATTCCATAGCTCAGCTAGGCCAGATAACAAACTGATAGCATGTCTTGCTTGATCAGAGACTCCAAGAGCAGTCCAAAATTCTAAAAAACCTTACTGAAATACTCACAAATGCTAAGCATATTTAACAAGAAATAATGGAATCAGTAAATGAAATCAGATCAATTATTGAGTCTCTCCCAAATTTCATATTGCAAACAGCTAAATACATAATTAACTATAGCTGAAGTAACTCTAGCTCTTGAGTAATTTTAATCAGCACATGACATCTAGCAGAATTCATCACCAAAAATAATAAAATATCATTACTGCAAAGTCAAGTCTTCAACATTTATCAATTTTGTATACTAAAAGAGAATTCTAAAGTGCTTTCACTGAACAGTTCATGACTGACTTGATTAAAATCAGAGTTTTCTGACATTTTTTATTCAGCAGACTGAAATCTTGACTCATTAATAATCAGAACAGCAATCTGCAAATTTATTCAGAACATAATGATAGTTACAAAGCTATCTTCTTATAGAGTGTCACTATTAAGTAAGTAAGTCATCTTGAACAAGTTCTTAAGTAATCTCTTGACTAACTTGATCATGAACTTTTTGTTCAAAAGCAGTAATTTAAACAACATTTCATCAACAACTTCTGATCAAATACAGCAGAAACTATCTACCCCAACAACATATAAATTTTCATCTCTTGATCAGACAACTACAGAAAATCAACAATCAATTGCAATTATGATCTTTAATGATCAAAATCTCCCAAACTCTGACAATTCTTCAGAACCATCAATTAAAGTCATAGAAAAATGTGCAGCTTGTACAAATGACATGAATATGCAACATATTATAGATGCAGTAACAGTAAATATGTGCACAATTATACACTCAGAATTAGCAGTCTTACACAGAGAATCATCTACTTCTCTTTCAACTTTAGTTTTATCAGCTTAATATTTTATCACTAACAATCTCATACTCCAGCAAAACTGAAAAATCACTGATATTGACTATTTCTACTCAGATATGCCATGTCATTGAAGAAGAGACATTGCAGATCAAGAAGAAAAGATCTGAATTAAAAATGTCTATCTTTTCACAGCTAGAATCAAAGCAGCAGCAGTGATTAAAGATTCACTGCAGATAGAAGCTGAATTGCACTCATATTTTTATGAAAATGTTATAATCTGATGAACAGTTAAACTAAATGATCTTGCACACAAAGTTCTTGTTCAAGATTCAGTTGACATTTATGATTGATGCTTTACTCTTGAAAAATGTTTCTGAATTTCATCAGCTCAAGCACAAGTAAAATTTGATAACATTCACTACACAGTTCTGAATGTCTGTAACAATAAGTCAACAGCAGTCTATCTCACTGATATTACAGCAGCAGCTCATCAATGTGAACTGATCACTTCAGAATTTGTAGTTGTACTGCATGCATGATATCATCTTGAAACTTCTCTATGAGTCACAATAGATGAATCACTAGAAGACACAACAATGAACATTTTTTGTGAACTGCTGACTTTCAAAGAAGTTAATTGATTTGATCAATATAACATAACATCTATCTACCAATCTCTCTATAAAGCAGTCACATTTCAGACATCAAATATGAGATGCTCATATGCAACTAGTCAATTCTATGAACAGTTCAGCTGCTCACAAAATAATCAACAATGGAGAACAAGACCAAACAATCAGCTTCAAAAATTTCAGCTCAAGCCAACTGAACAAAGTTCACCATCTCCATTTCATAATACAGTAGAACTGCAATGAGCATATACAACAGATTCAGACTCAACAAATGTTGATGAAGATTATTCATATGAATCAGAAGAAAACTTAATTATCTCTGAAGACAACACATCTTCAGAATCTAAAATGAATCAGATGAATGCTGATTCTCACACTATCTACTATCATTGTAAAGAAGTCTTTTCTTCACAAAATCAGCTTTTCAAATATCTAAATACATATGAACCATCAGCCTATCTCACTAATTCTGAACATGATATAGTGATGTCACAATGCATTGATCTCATCTCAGACATGCAATGAAACTTCTGTCACTGAAAATATGCAACAGCACAAGATTACATTAAGAACTCTTTCAGACTAGCAGTCTGTTGTCTTGACTCAGAGTGCAATTCTACATTAGTTAATCAAAAATTCCTCCAGAAACAGAATCTGACAATAATTATTCAAGATTTAACATCATTATCCATTAGTGAAATTGATGAGAGATTGATATTTTATGTCTCAGTATGCTTTCCACTACACTTTTCAGATTTCAACTCAAAAGACAATAAAATCATCATTCACATCATGATAATGACTCAAGTTGTCAACACTCTGCCAGTTAACATACTCATCAGAGTTGACAATCTAGCATCAGAAGACATTATACTTAATTTTCTTCAACAGTGTGCAATATTTGCAAGAGCAGATAATGCCCACACACAGCTGACTGTTATCTCAAAATCTAATCATCAATCAAAACAAACATTGTACACAGTCTTGACTGTGGACATTTCACCACATTCTTAAATCAAACTATCAATTAGAACCCAGAACCAACAATCACTATCAATAAATAGAGACTATATTTTTCACCCCCAATGTTCTACTTTAACATACTATAATTAAGTAATGCAGGCTAATCTTTCATTTACTATTTTAGAAAACAATACTGATACTCTCTACACTATTAAATGTCATGCCCACATCAGATATCTAGAGAAAGTTCAGAAAGACTTTGCATATCATGTTGACATTTCAATGTCAGAAACTTTAGCACACATATCAGCACAACAACTGTCAATAATACAATTAATCACATCAGTACTAGAGGAAACCAAGCTATCAAATGAAGTCACCATATTTGGCAAATCATCAGACACTCAAAAACTGACTGACACAGTCATGACTCATCACAATGTATGGGAAGACAAAGAGACATTCATGAACATTCCACAACATTAATGAATGAGAATCTCAATTAAAGACACTGCTAAATCACAAAAATCTGCAAGAAAGTATCTTCTTTTCAAACAAGAAGAAGCTATAATTGACAAGACATTTAATGAACTTCATCACAAAGATCATATGACACACAGTCTACATCATGCAAAGTACACTTACTCAGTCTTTATAGCATATCAATGAGTTATGGAAAATGGATAGCAAATAGCCAAAGACTGCTCAGTGATTGACATTCACTCATTAAATACTCATTCAGTCTCAGATATCTATCCACTACATCAACAAGAGAATATAATAGCAGTCATAGTTGACTGTTTTTACATTACAGTTTTAGATGCCACATTCTTTTTTTATCAATGGCAAGTACACTCTGATGACTGAGATAAACTAACAGTGGTAACACACAGAGAACAGAAAGTTTTTAATGTTGCAGTCATGAAATACATTAATAGTGTTTCTTATGTTCAACATCAAATGGATTATGAATTCCAACACTGGAAAAAATTTGTCCATATATATATAGATGACATAGTCATTTTCTCCAAAACACTAGAGAAGCATATTCAGCATCTTCACATCATTCTTGATCATCTTAACTCTCTGAACATTTCTCTGAATTTAAAGAAAGTCTTCATTGGATTCCCATTGATCAATCTTCTAGAACAACAGATTACTGGTCTAGACATGTTCACAGCAAAAGAAAAACTTGAAGCAATTGCTCAATTAAAATTCCCAAAAACTTTACACCAACTCAAAATGTATCTTAATTTAACAGAATGGCTACACCAATACATTTCTTACTATGCACAACTCAGTGAATCACTCCAAATCAGGAAAACAGAACTCAATACAAACACACCACCTAAAGACAAGAAATGACTAAACTATGCTAACAGAACTTACA